GGGAAAAAATATAATAAAAAATCTAAAAAATGTAATAAATTTAGAAACATATGAAAAATTTATGTAGCAAATGATAAAATAAAATAAATAGATTTCAATTAATAAAAAAGTATGAATTAGAAGTAAATTTTTAATATTTGACTTAAAAAATAGATATTAGTAATTAAGGTTTAAAATTTAATGATCTAAGGTTTTTTTCTTTTTTTTTTTTTTTTTTTTGAGAAAAGGGCATTTTTTATTAACCAAATCTCAAAAATGCAATGTCTGTACATCAAAAACTGGGACATTCCCCAGTACTTTCAAATAACCATAATTCTATGGGTCAAACAATTATATTTCTTGAATAGGAGGCATTAACATAAATAATTATGAACATATCAATTCTAATATACATCAGGAATCAAACATAATTATTGGCATAGAGCAATCAAACAAAGAGGTGGAAAGGAATCAAATGCAATAGAGCAATTAAATCTCATGCCCTTTAAAGAATAACCATAAATAAAACAAACAAAACAAATTCCTATGTGCTTGCATAAAATGCATGAGAACACGATTTGGAATTAGGAAAATGCTAACAAGTGGAGGAAAACTGCATCTTTACCGCTGATTGCTAAAACAACTAAAGACTAAATAAAATTTTACACACAGTTCTTGTAGCAGCCATTCCAGGTTCCCAGTTTTTAATTCTCACGAATTCACTTTATCAATGAAACACTCCACAACAAGCAGACCATTAAATTCACCAAACAAGAAATCACTCTTCCAAAAATCAAAAAGAACAACATATGCATTTTCCCTCCCCTACAAAATACCTCAATAAGAACTGTATCGATTTCAAAGGCAACTAAAACAAATTTAGATAAAAAAAAAATCCAAAAAAATAGAAGAGACAGCAAGTATGCACTTGACTGCAGTCGTGGACAAAGTCAATTGCCAACACGCACAACCAAAAACACGTCACTAGCACCTATGAACACCGGTTGGTGCCGTGGACTAGCTCTACGAAACGATAGGAAACAGAGTGAGGTTTCTCAGTTTGAGCACACGAGATCTATCCTCTAGAAGCTGGTAAAGTGCCAATTCGAGTCCCCATGGCACCTGATCAGGGCTAAGAACTATCAAGAAAACAGAGCAATGAAGAACACTCCGTTATCTAAACTTCTTGGCTCCAATGACATATCAGCAATCAAGTATCTGCCCATTCCTCCGATGATTAGGGCAAGAACACAGGGAGAGGAGAAGGAAAAGGAGAGGGAGCGAAGAAAGATCGGGATCTATGGCTAGAGGAGGAGCAAACGACCTTTCATGCTTAGAAGTGCAGATAAAAATTAGGAATTTAGGGCATTTGTTATAACTAAGAGGACCTTTCACGCTTATAATTAGGGAATTTGGGTTGGTTGAAAAAGAAGACAGGGAAGAAGACGGAGAATGAATTAGAGATTTTGGGTTGGGGAAGAAGACAGGGAATGGATTAGGGATTTTGGGTGGGTTGAGAAAGGAAACGGTGAAGAAGACGGGGAATGAATTAGGGATTTTGTGTTGGTTGAGAAAGAAGAGAAGAGGGGAAGCTGTTATGATGGGATATATATATATATATATATAGAGTGGTTTATTTGTAAATTGATTAAAATGTGAGGATAAAATAAGAATAACAAATAAATTTCATTAATCAGGAGGAAATGATCCCGCAAAAGCAACTGAAGCTTTTGAATTTTAAAAGTACTTTTTACCGGTTGCTCCAAACATGCACTAAGTTTGGTTGTGCTACCTACTATAACCATAACAATAATTCTTCTAAATTTGTTTAAAAAAAAATGTTGTTACTAAGAATTTACCACCACTATATGAGGAACAAGGATTTCCCATTAAAGTTTCAAAAACTTATTACTAAGAATTTATTCACCTATGTGCAGTGGCAAGATCAGGATGGGAAGAGGGCGGGCAAAAATTTTGGGAACAAAGGGCCACTAAATTTGTGATACTTAAATTAAATGTGTTTATAAAGTATAATTTTCTCTTATCTGTTTTAGTTGTGTTAATTTGAGTTTTGCATAAAATTTGATTTATTGTTTTATTAGCAAATGGATGACAACCAAAAATTTTTTCCTTCCCAAACATAGTATCTATTAAATAATTTTCACTTAGATCAAACACAGTGTCTATTGAATAATTTGTTTATATAAAATTATTAAGTTAATTAATATAAAGTTAATGAAATTGAGTAACTAAAAAGGACCAAATGGAGTAACATATAATTGTAAAGCTATAAATTTGTGTTTAAAATCAAACTTAATCATATTCAATGTAAAATATATTATCCTTTGAAAATTTTGGTAATTATTGAATAATTATCTAACTATATTTGTGGGAAAAAATATAATAAAAAATCTAAAAAATGTAATAAATTTAGAAACATATGAAAAATTTATATAGCAAATGATAAAATAAAATAAATAGATTTGACTTAATAAAAAAGTTTGAGCTAGATGTGAAGTTTTAATATTTGACTTGGAAGAAAAATAGATATTAGTAATTAAAATAAATATTTTAGACTAACTTTAGGCACTACAAAGATAAAAATCTAAGGGTTTATTTAGAAATTGAAGAGAAATGTTAAAAACTTAAAGCTATTTTGAAATGACTTTTTTATAGTTAATAAATTAGTTTTAAACAGTTACTAATTGTTATGTCAACATTTTATTTTAAATTTAATGATAAGATTTACAAAAGAGTAATGATAATTATTTTCATAAATATTAAAAATAATTAAGTGAATAAAATAAAATTTAAGGATAAAATTCCTAAAATATCAAATTTGTGAACTAATTTAAAAAGGTTTTTCAAAAGACCAGGGGCCATAGCTCCCCTTTCTCAACGTGGTCCCACCATTGCCTATGTGATAGGATTCGATATTCATATAGAACCTGCACATAAAGAGTTGTATTGGGGAGGAAAATATCACATTGAAAATATAATAAAAAAACATATATATTAAATATAAAAAGAGCTAATCTATTTATTACTAATTAGAAGTTGAATACAAATCTTATATTAAAACTCATATACATAATTTCCTACAAAATTTACCCCAATACATTTGTGTCATGAATCAGGTAACAAAATAATATAACATTTTCAAAAGTTCTCACAATCTTTAATTTAAATTATACTCCTTCCATTCCTTTTTAGTAGACCTTCTGTCCAATAAATAAAGATTAATAATTTATTAGTAAAATTTTTTATTTATCTCTAATTAAGTACTACTTATATAAGATTTTTTATTTAATATATGTTATAATTATTTTTTAAAAACAATAATAAAATACAAATAAATACATTTAATGACACTTTAAGAAGAAAAAGTGAACAATTAAATTTAAATACTTTAAATAGAAAATTAGGTCTATTAGAAATGACCGGAGGGAGTAATAAATTTATCTTTGTGTTCCTTTCAAAGTAATATAATTTTAATGGCTATTAATTATTTTTTATGTTATACTCTAATTCAGCTCTAAATACATGTACAGAAGGGATGTTCCTGAAGTATTAGTTTGCAAAGTCTAACATTTCTAAGTCAACATATCTTCAAATTTCAAACTACTTAATTAATTTGCCCAATGGGATATAACAAATCTAAAAACCATCGTTCCATTCCCTGCTTGGCATTATGTCAACCAATTGGTGTGCATTCTGCAAAACACAAACACATTAACCATTCATGAACCAAACAGATCAATAAAGAAGAGAAAATGCTGATAAAAAAATAAAAAATAAAGAAGAGAAAATGCTGATAAAAAAATAAAAAATAAAGAAGAGAAAACTCTAGAAAAAAAAAATTGTGGCCAAGAAGATAACAGGAAAAATCAATTATTGATATTTCTAATTGTTAAAAAGTTGGTGTGTAATCTCACTTTTTATCTTAGTATTTTATCCCTTGAAGGCAAGTATGCTCTGAAGCAAGTTTGCTCTGCCCAATAACCGCCTGGTTAATTATTAGCATCTTTACTTAAATTACTCATTCATACTTCATAGTACTTCTAACATTAATTTCCAACTCAATTTGATTTTCTCCCAAACACTTTAATTTCAAAAATTGTTTCTCTTATCTTATAATTGTACTATGATCCATTTCCTAAGGACATTTAAGTTTCTAATGCATAATTAGCCTATACCTAACAATTTTATACATGCAGGGACTCCCAAATGGACTGCATAAAATCAGCCATTGATATTGTGAAGGACGTTGGCCCTACCGTTCGGAGATATGTCAAGTATCAACTTTGTCCCAAAGATTATGTGGATCGATTCGTAGCAGTGCAAAAGAGGCTGGAGCGCCAACTAGATGACGTTGAGGCAAAATTAAACACACAACTTAGCCAGCCCGGCAAGAAAGCAGCGAGCCAAGTTGACAATTGGCGGGAGGAAGTGCGCAAAGAAACCGCTGTAAAGGTTGAAGATTTGACCTGTAAAGGAGGCTGTTTCACAAATATTTGCACATCAAGAAAGCTCGATAAAAAGACTCAAGCACTGAATAAAGGAATATGCATGCAAGGAGAAAATTACACTAAGGATGGTCAGAGTTTGGTCATAGATGATCACTCAATTGAGTATTGCACGATTGTATTCAAAGAAAACCGAGAGCAGTTGAAGCGCCGGCAAAAAGACATTGAGGCAAAATTGGAGACTCAATGTATGCAACCTGGAAAGATTGCAAGGAAGGAAGTTGAAGCATGGATGGAGAAAGCATGCAATCAAATTGCCACAAAGGTTGAAGACCTTATTAACCAAGGGGAATGTTCTTCATCATCCAACCTTGAGAGAAAGACTGAAGAATTGAAGCAAATGCTTGAGGAAGGAAAAGAATTCACTAATGCTGGTGTGAGTTTGGTCATAGATGATCACTCAATAGAGTATTGTGCACTTGCATTCAAAGAAAAGCAAGAGAGGCTGAAGCACCAAAAGGAACACATTGAAGCAAATTTGAAGACTCAGTGTATGCAACCTCGAAAGATTACAAGGAAGGATGTTAAAGAGTGGTTGGAGAAAGTAGGCCAACAAATTGCCATAAAGGTTGAAGATCTAATCAGCCAAGAGAATTGTTCCTCATCAACCAACCTAAAGAAAAACACTGAAGAATTGAAGCAAATGCTTGAGGAAGGAAAAGAATTCACTAATGCTGGTGTGAGTTTGGTCATAGATGATCACTCAACCAAAGGAGTTCCACTACTCGTTGAAGAATGCAGGGGCAAGAATGATATAAAAGATCAAATTCTAGAATGGTTGAAGGGAGACAAGGTTACAAAAATTGTAGTTTCGGGAATGGGCGGTGTGGGCAAGACAACGATTATGAAGCAAGTTCACAACCAACTCTTGAAAGAACCCAAATTTAACAAAGTTATTTGGGTAAAAGTGTCAAAAGACTTTGACATTATTGTCCAACACAAAAAAAAGTTTGATATTCTCAAGTTTCAAAAAAGGATTGCAAGTAGCTTAGAATTAAAATTGGAGCCAGAGGATCATGAGAATGAAACCAAGCTTGCAGGATTGATTTCACAAAAGTTGGGGCGAGGCAGCTTCTTGCTAATTTTGGATGATGTGTGGCAACCTTTCTCTTTAGAAGACATTGGAATTCCTGATCTAGTTGGAAATAATGGTTGCAAGTTAGTGCTCACGACACGATTACAACATATTGCTCGTGTAATGGATTGTAAGGTGGTCATGGTGAATCCTCTTCCAGCTAATGAAGCATCAGCATTATTTTTGGAGAAAGTTGGAAGTGATGTGTTTTCAGATGGCAAAATTAAAAGAGATATTGAGGTATTTTTGAAGCAAATTTTGCAAAAATGTGGTGGAGTACCCCTTGCCATTGTGACAGTGGCAAAATCAATGAGGGGGAAATTACTTCCTCGTCATTGGAAGTTGGCACTTTCTGAATTTAGTAAATTTGACAACATTGTTGATTGTTTGAAATTCAGTTATGAATGCCTAGAACTACAATGCCAGGAGTGTTTCCTATACTGCACATTGTATCCTGAAGATCATGAAATCTCAAAGGAAGAGTTAATTGAGTATTGGATTGAGGAGGGGCTTATATATAAAGAAGGGAAAACTAGGGAAGCAATGTATTGGAAGGGTCATGATATACTCGATAAGCTGGTTGACAATTGCTTGTTGGAATCGGTTAAACACATACATAGAGGAGATTGTGTGAGTATGCATGATCTTTTCCGAGACATGGCGCTAGATATTAGGCCTCAATATTTGGTGAAAGCTGGCATTGCCTTGGAAAAGCTACCAGAAGAGGGTGAATGGAGAGAAAATCTTTTGAAGGTTTCTTTAATGGAGAATCACATAACAAAAATTCCTTCAAGCATGCCGTCTCCAAAGTGTCCTATGCTCACAACCTTGCTATTGTCCAATGCCAAGATTTCAACAATTCCAGAAGCCTTTTTTGAGCATATGCTTGGGCTCAAGATTCTTGATCTTTCCAACAATTATGAGCTAAGTAGGCTGCCAAGTTCTATTTCCAAATTAGAGAAGCTTACTACATTATTGCTATGGAATTGTAGTTTCTTAAGAGAGGTACCATCTTTATCCAACCTTGTAGGCTTAAAAAAGTTGGACCTTTCCTGGACATCAATTAAAGAACTACCCCAAGGCTTCAATATGTTAACAAATCTAAAATGGCTTGGTCTTGGTGGAGGATTATCAGAGACACTTGATGAAATGCTACAAAATCTCTCCAAACTTCAGCATTTAATAGTAAATGCCATAACAAAATTTAAATGGGAGAAGATTGAAAGTTGGGGGAAGCTTCAAAACCTTGAGAAGTTGGTTCTTTGTAATTTAGGTAACTTAAATACGGTGTTTGGGGAAATAGGAGCAGTTGCTAAGTCAGCACCACTACCAGCTAGCACATTTTCCTCTCTTCAATATATTAGTGTTTGGAGATGTGATCAAATAAAGAAGTTATTCTCAGTTAGGTGGTTGGGTTATCTCCAAAAACTACAGACTATTAAGGTTGAACATTGTGAGCAACTAGAGGAGATAATAGGATCTGAATATGAAGGAGGAGAAAAAGTCACTCTACTCGGGTTAGAAAGGTTGGAATTGACAGGATTGCCCCAATTGAAGAGTGTTTATGGCGGTTGTTTAATTTGTGATTCCATTAAGAAGATTGAAATTAAGGATTGCTACAATATAAAGAGTGTTTTCGGGTCAGGGTTCAACCCACTTCCAAATCTTGAATATCTAGAACTTTCCCAATTATGGAAGCTGAAATTTGTGTTTGATGAAGAAGGTCTTGGTTTATCGCCACATGTACCTCCCACAAGCTTTTTCTCTCTTAAACAAATTAGGGTTTCTGGGTGTGATCAATTAAAGAAGGTATTCTCATCCGGATGGCTGCTCTGCTACTTCCAATCTCTTCAGACTATTGAGGTTCGATGGTGTTCGCAAATGGAGAAGCTGATATCGTCATCAGCACATGAAGAAGAAAAACTCACACTACCCAAGTTACAAAGCTTGGAATTGACAAGATTACCCTTATTGAAGAGCATCTGCAGCAGCTCCAGCGTGTTGATTTGTGATTCTATCCAGAGTCTAAGGATTACCTACTGCGAGAAGCTAAAGAGGATTCCTCTAAATTTTCCCTTGCTTGATAATGCCCAATCATCTCATCCTCCTTCCCTCAAAGAAATTGTGGTATTCCCAAAAGCATGGTGGGAATCATTGGAATGGGACGATCCCAATGCAAAAGACATCCTTTTACCCTTCTGTGAATTTCAGAAAATATGGTTTTAAAGCGCATCGCAAATGTAAGCCTTTTAATTTTCAATTTTCCATTTCTGATTCAACTCAATAAGACTTTTCCATTCTTAATAAATCTCTCTCTCTCTCTCTCATCTATTCTTCTCACCCCCATTGGCAGCAATTCGGATTCGACTCTGTAACCACAAGAAAGTTGGAGGAAATCACATTTTCACTAGTTGCTGTTGCTATTGGTTTTCAATTTAATATAATCTTTGTTTTTCTTTTTTAGTGTGTGTTGCGTGTTTCAGTATGTAATTCTATGTGGAAAACTGGAAATGTTTGTTTCCTTATTATGTGTGTAATTTTATGTTTGAAACCATGTGCAAAAAAGACTTGAAATTATTTAGGATCTATCTAATTTCCTTTGCTATTTATACTTTAGTGCACCTGCACCTTTGCTTTTCTTGTAACATGCATTTTAGCATTTGCATATCTTTTCTCAAACTTCATTCAATAATATCGTCATCTTCGACAACCAAGATAGATTGACATTTCAGCTTTTCTTGTTACCATATCTTCTCAAAATCACCAAAGATGGACTGGCATTCAGCTCCAAGTATACTCCTTTTCTTTTCTTTTGGCTTTTTTACAAAGAAATTATTTTATTATATTTTCTGGTTGCATAGTCTGAATATATGTCTGATTAGCTAAAGTAAAGTACTGCTTAATTACTATTATTTCAAAAGAGAATTACTTCCGTTCTTGGATGTTAATGGGTTAACATTCATCGATGGGCAGACTGATGAGGAGCTACTAGATCACTACTAAACGAAAAGCATTGTTCCATTACATCATATTTGACACCCAATCCCATGTTGCAATTTTCACTCCCAAGAGCAAAGCGAACACATCAAATGATCAATTGTTATGTGGAAAAAAAGGGTTCTTATGAGCATGTTTCTTTTTAATTAAGTATATTTGTGAAGGCATTATATGTACCAGGGACATGTTAAGACCTGTTTGCTTTAAAATAATCACTATTCACTATTTGAAGTTGTTGGTATCAGCAAGAGCTCAAATTTGTCTGTGGAGAGCTCCAAAATCAGATGTCAAGTTAACTGCCCTTGTCCCTCTTAAATTACCATAGGAAGGTATGAAATTTATATCCTTGGGCACAATTTTGTCATTTCAAACAAGTGTTGCTCTGCCTTCAAGATGAAAATTCTGCTTGAGTTCAACCATCTTTATTCATATTTTATTTTAATAATTTATTTGAGTCTTGCGTGTCTATTAGATTAGATAATTCCACAACTTTAGTGAAGTTGCCTAACAATTTTTCCTGCGCATGAGAATCTGACTTCTAAAGATATATATATATATCTTTTTTTTTTTTTTGGTACAAGAGGAGAGCATTATATGTCTAGATAATTATGATTGTTTCTAGAATGCTTGCTTGGTAGAGTTCAAGTATTGTTGAAAAATTTTTCTGGTCCATCTCCTTTTAACTAATTTTTGTTTGGTATATCTCTAAAGCAAGATAGAGTTCATCTTCTCAACATATGTCAATGCCAACGGTCAAAATTATTGTCCAAATTACATGTCAATGTAGAGAGGGATTCAATGTTACTCAGCATTGCTTGTCTCTTTGTTGGGTTTGTTGCATCAATCCTTCGACTTCTAGGTTTGTAAAACTGCTCTCTCTTAGCAATTTCCTTTCTCTTAGGTTTTCCTTCAAGATCTAATGTAGATTTCTCTAAATTTATCACATTTTCCATTTGATTAAAGAGACTACATTTTTATCTCTGGTTATCTGTTTCGATGCCATCATTTTCAAAGGTTTGTTTGGTTACTGAGAAGATTAGAGAAAACTGAGTTTCTAAGAGTTTTTTCTTATATTGAGGAAATTGCAGTTTAGTTTATTAATCACGGTTGCTTTTTTTCCTTCAGTTTTTTACTCAATTGAGTCTGATCGATGAAAATTCAAATTTTCCTTTAATTGGAAAGGATTTTATTTAAATTTGTTGTCTAATGTGTCCTAGATTTGTTCTAGAATTATGAATTCCATCCGGTCAAGTCAAATTAATTCTTTTGTTGAAGAATGTGAAGGATGTTGTAATTTCTAATCCTCCTCCTGCAGATCTAGGCTTAAAACTTGCTTTTGCTTGTGTAGGATTATTATTAGTGAGATAGTCTTAATTACATTTGAGCAAAAAAGACAGATTGGATTCTAAACCTAATTTTGATTTGATTTCATGCTGAATTGTTGTTATGTTCATTATATTTTTACAGTGATGGTGTAGTTTACCTGTGGTACTAATACAATATATGGTGGAATTCAATGGGAAACATTCACAAATCTATCTAACTTATGGGCTAAATATATTTATCTATATTTAACAAATTAATCAGGACTGCATCAAGATACTTGTTGGAAACAAAGTTGACTAATGTTGTTTGTTATCAAGTTTCATTTTGCTTCAGTTAGCAATTTAATCTCAAGTTCATCTGATACCTTTTAATGGACCTATTTGATATTACGGAAAATGATTCTTGAGCATTATTTTATACATGGAATTTAATGGTACCACTCACATTGGTGATCTTAACAGGAAAGTGAAAGGGTTATGTCCATAAAGTAGTGTATATGTTTATTAGATACTCTTTGCCATGAGACAAGTTTATTTGTTGCTTGGGTGCAAAAGTAATATGGAAGCTTACTGGATAGTTTAGTTGTTTATATATTCTAAAGTAGTCCTGTTTTGATTTCTAAAAACAAGTTGACCATGCATTGGTGATTTCTGTTATGTAAACCAGTGGTTTGGTTTTAGACTTGAGACTTTTTCCTACATACATTTGACACTCTCTGTAAATTTACCGACATAGGCATGCATGAACGTGACTGTATTCCTCAAATCAAATATGATTTGAAGTATACCCCTTTTCATGTTCTCTCATTCAAAAAATTTAACAGTGTAACTATGAATCATCCATTACATGTGTGCTGCCTGCTGCTTACCTTAAGGGCTTTAGCCAAAATCATGTTGCAAAAGTTGCATATGTACTGAAACAATTCCAGGGGGAACCTTTAGAGCTCTCTTTGTCCTTATAAAGTGTTCCATAATTGTTACGGTTTTACCATTCACTTCCAACTCTTGCTGCCCTACCTCAAATTTGATCCTAGTTTTAGTAGTCTCTATATTTGTTCTTAAAGATATCTGCTTTGGCCATGAAAAAAGGAACAAAATTCCAAAAGGGAACACCTAAGTGGGTGCAATTGAAGAACCCTGCCAAGAAAACTGGCAAACTTGCCTAAAAACCGGTAAGCCGAAGCAAGAATTTTTTTTGGGGGGGGAGATACAATAAAACATAAAAGAGCAAAAAAACTCTCTGTCCCCTTTTTAAAAGTGTTCCGGTTGCCCCTCACATTTACAACCCCTTTTGGGGGGGGGAAAAATGAGAACACGCGAAGAGGGCGCAGAGACGATGAAAATATATTAAAACACAGTTACACTTGGGATAGAGAGAGAATACAAGATGACACTCCACAAAAAACATGCAAAAACACAAAAAGACGCGTGAGAAAAAAAAAGGAGAAAAGAATTGAACCAAAAAAGAAGGAAATTTTCCCCTTAAGTTGACCAATGTTTGTATCCAAGTTTCATTTTGCTCCTATTGGGATTAGGCCCAACACCCGCTTTGGACCACATGCAACAAGCCCAGTTATATGTTCACAGGCCCAAGATGAAGAGACACACCCACGTGGGCAGTAACACGTGGACCAATTGGATGAATACATGTCTGAACTCACGTCAGTATATGGGGCTATAAATACCCCCAACTACCTCCATGCAAGATATTAACTCCACTACGATTCTCTCTCTGCAATTACTCCTTAAAAGCATCTCTCTCTAGAATATTGAGTATTGCTAACTCGAGCGTCAGAGTGTTTTCCCTGAGGAAACATCCTCGGGAATTTTAAGTGTTGAAACGGTTGAAGATATCTACTGTATTGGATCTTGAAGCTGCCTAAACAGCTCCAGTTAGCAATTTAATTTCGAGTTCATCTGAAACTTTCTCATTGGGCTATTTGATGTTATGGATAATAACTCTCGAGCATTATTTTATGCATGGAATTTAATCTTCAGTGATCTTTCGCAACAAAGTGAAGCAGGTTGGGTCAAGAATATTGATGCCTCATGATAGAGTGCAGTGCAAAAAATTAAGTGAATGTAAAACAATGCTATGACGAGCTTGTCTTAAAGGTAACTAATTAAAGTCCGTGCAGTTTCTTCCACAATTGACAGCCTTATGTTTTTATTAGATACTCCTTCCCTGAGACAAGTTTATGTATTTGATTGGATGCAAGAGAAATAGTGAAGGTAATTAAAGCATTTGATTGTGATAATTTAGTTGTTGATATACTGAAATATAACTGTTCCTGTTTTACTTCTGAGACAAATTGATACCATATAATGGTTTGTGTAATCCTAGATAAGGTGCCAATTTTTTCTGTTGCAAACTTACCTCAGATAAATTGCAAAAGCTGCATTTTGGTTGATGTGTATAATTGAAGGGAAATATGCAGTATTCTAACTTGATTAAACATCACCATATACAAATATGTTTTTG